TAAAAACACGATTAAATACTGTAACTAAATTAGAGACAGATTATTCATTCAATTTGCATTATCTTGTTATTAAACTCACTGCTATAGCTATGATAAAAAATTAATGTCACAGAATTTATCACAAACAATGATTATAGAGAATAACTTTATGTTTACATTTATTAGCCCCCCTAAAATAGGCCTAGTGATGCCACTGCTGCTGGATATGGGTACGAGTGACCTGAAAGGAAGAAGCAGGTAAAATATAACAGATGTATGGATTTTAGGGTTTCTTTTTGTTGTTTCTTTATACAGATGGATCCAAAACRTGCTGAGTGATCTATACATTTGCTTTTTGAAATAAAAGAAGTGGAAATTTCCAGCATGTTCAAGTTCTTACTCTAAACCCAAACCAGTTAATCTTCATATCAGTCACCGAAGACAAATGATCCTCTTCTTTTTCCTTTGTTTCCCCCCAAAAACACCCAMTCAGTTCCACAGGCTATTTAGGTTTTCAGTTATTTAAATTTTGTTCATTCTTTGCTAATTTCAGCAACAGCATGATAGCATCCTTTCAACATAAGAGCGTGCCAAATGTCTGCCTGGATTATGGGATTCAGTGCAGCCGTGCACTTTCAAATTAGATTTAAAAATATATGAATCAGAACAAAATTAATCAGAGAAATGTTTTATTGTATATCCTGTATTTTCGTTTTTCAAAATAACTACCACTTGTGGAAAAATTGAGCCTGGGGACCAGTTTKGACCCCATGGGGTTTAAGATGTCTGCATCCCCAGAGCATCTGCACTTTTCTGTTCAAAGGTTCTGGTAAACCTAATTTGAAAAGATTTCTCAAACACATTGGACTCGTAAATCCTATTCGCAATAATTACTTTTAAGTCCACTTTAATACAAACATTTTGTAAAATGTTTCTGTTACATATTTGAGAAATGAGGTGAAGGCGGGGAGACGGGGAGTCGAGGTGAGAATATAAAAGAGGTTCAAACAGCAGTCTGGATTCGTTGGCAAGTCCTCAGTTCAAGGTGGAGAAAAATAAAATCTCTCTTTGAAACTGCTGATATTTTCACAAGTAACTGCTTCTTTTCATCTCTGAACARTGACAGGAGATTCTGCAGACCCCCAACTCCCCCCATCTGCTGTCATGAAACTGATGAGAAATGCATGTTCCATATTTTCCAGGCTAGATGTAAATAGTTATTTATAAATAAATAAATAAATAAATAAATAAATAAATAAATACTGCATCTTCTTTTAATTTTCCCTATAGTTGGGTGCTGTTGTTGTTGGGTGGATCATTAGTAGTTTAATCCTCATAACTATAAGCATATTCAGATTGATTATTTTAATTTATTATTATTTTTATTATAATTTGGTTTAATTTAATTCATGAGTTATTAAGCATTAATAAGAAATGAATTTGTTGGTTTTGCAAGTAATTAGCCTTTATGGGTAAAACATAAAAGAAGTTAAGCTATAGCTTATTATATGAATCTTTATTTAGATTTTTTTTTTTAGTTTTCAATGTTGTGTTAACACATTTAACTGACAGAATTGAAACATTTCACAAAATTAACATTATTCTGTTCACTTTTAAAGGTTCTGTGGCTCAAGATGGCCCAAGTAAGAATTATTAGCTAAGTCTGAGATGTGTAAAAAAAATAACAATATATATATATATTTTCACTGGTGTTTTAACTCCAAAATGTGATTGTTGAGCAAAGTCTAATTTTCTAACATTTAATAAATGGAACATAGAGCAAACATTCTTTAAGTGTGTTTTTAAATCATTAAATGTAACTTTAAAAACTAAATAAATGATAAAATATTCAGTTTCTGTATAAAGCAGGATAAAAGTATAAACTTTGCTGCTTTCTCTTGTTGTCATTTTGACATTTAAAACACAGCCTAAATAATTCATTAGTCCTTTCAGTGTCGACTGTAAAGACATAAATTTACAAATACTCTGTTTCTGTAACATCGTGACATTTATTTTTGTGGTTTGTGCATTTTCTTTTATGCATTTTCCAGGTCAGTTTGGTGCTCACTTTGACATTTGAAAAGACAAACTGTTTATTTTGTGTCAAATATACAAACTGAGACTCTAAATTATTTAGGTTCTGTGACACCAGTTCTGAATGTTCTTGTGCTTTATTAGTAAAACATAACTTTTCTTATTCTTCACTGTCTCATAGGACCCCGTCCACCTTCAGACTCCAGTCGGTCATTTTGACATTAAAAAGTTGGTCATTTTTGCAGACTGATAATTGGCTATCATGCTTCACTCATTTAGGTTTGCCTTGCATTCAATGCACTAATCGTGAGGGAACACTTTCTTGTTTTTTTAATTACATTGCATATACAGTATGTATATGTATTTTTATCAATATGCCATTTTGGCAACATTATAAAAAAATTGTGTTACCAAAATGCTAGACTGAATGGTTTGACAGTGATAGCCCATCTAGAAATGGAGACAGGGAACTCCTTACAAAACTCCATGGAAGGTTTCCAGGAAAGATCTGCCCATGTACCACAGATGTTGGTCATCTGAGTTTGTTTATTACAACAACAGGAACACAGAGAACAACATCAGCCTGTGCCCCTACYCTCTGCTCCGGTTCATACTCCCTTTCAGGCAGTTGAGGCCTCATGTATACTGTTTAACAAACACCTTTATGTCATCTTAATAAAGCAAGATTTCAGCCTAAGGAAATGCTGGGTCAAGGCAAAACACAATAAATAAATGCAAGTGATATCAAAGAGTGATTGTTAACAAATCTTGTTCTGGCTGTAATTATTTTATCTACCGATAAAGAGCATGTCATGAAAACCTAGGTCATTAAAAGTATGTCATGAATTACTGGCATAAAACAAAAGTATTATTCCCATTACAACAGCTTAATTTAATCTTTAACAAATCGAATTCTGCTCACTTCAAATAGAAAGTCATATCTATTTACATATATATACTATTTATAGTCATATATATTGTACCTAATTTCCCTCTGGGATCAATAAAGTATTTTTGAATTGAATTGAATTGAATATCACCCTTTGTACGTTTTTTCAAACCTTTGCTGTCATTCCTTTTCCTAAAACCTAACTGCACAATTTAAATGCAGATTTTTTTTTTTTTACAGTTTCTCACTATCTCTTCATCTATTGTTTGTTTTCAGGTACAATCCAACGACARGATTTGTTTGCCGTAACGAGGACCAGTGGTCCAGTAACTGCTTGGACTACAAAGTTCGGTTTGGGTTTCCTTGCAGTCGCTGAGGCGTGATGCTGCAAAAATGGAAACAATGAAAAAAAAAAGGAAATTGATGTTCTTATCGCTTCATTAACCTCTGATACTTCATGTCTCCTGTGTTTCTTTAATTAGTTTTCTTAATGAAAAGAATAAATGGTTATGGGCTTGGGGGGAAAAACACGTCTAAGTGAATTCCAACATGTAACAAATATTTTTCATAGCTGTTACTAAAAGTGGTCCAGTGTAACAGAGGAACAATAACACAGGAGTTGTGAACATAAAGTTAAAGGCAGTTTTTCCTGTTTTTGTTTTTTTTTTCAGCAAAATGTGCATGTGGTGTATTTTTATTTTTTCCAAAATACATATTTCTTGTTTAACTGAGGCTGAGGCTCAACTGAACCACAAATAAAACACTGATAAACTAGAA